AAAAGAGGGAGCTCTCTATATCCCCACAAAAAGAAAAGAAAAAGTGACGTAAGCTGACAATTGTGCCTTTTTTAAAACAACTTTTTATTTCGCGATATCGGAAAAAAAAGTTCTCAGATGAAAGGGAGCGTGACTTTATAACTTAGTTTCTTTTTTTTATATGGTTGCTAATTAAAAATTTAATAAAAGAAAGGACGAGGGTCTAAAAAAAGTTAATATATTCCTTGGGACCCTTAACTATTACTTAACTAGCACTCCCTACTAAGTAGTTATTGTTACTATGCTAATTGTTTCTTTAACTCGGTTATCGTTGTATCTGTTAGATATGTATGTGTCTTTTGGGGTATATTGCATTTACCTTCTTTTTTGTTGCACCTTAGCTAAATGAGAAATTTGTCTGCTTTTTAGCCACAATTCTATCCTTTTTTTTAAATCTCTAGTACACGTGGTACTGGCCATGATAATCATGGTGGGTAGAAGTTAGCGACTGCTTTTACTGTAAATTCCCCACATGTCTATACACGTAAAAGGAGTTCGACTTTTGCACTTACAAATGTGCCAGAATCCCGTTTGGGGTTGAACTTTTGCAAGAATCGAGGGCCATTCGAGCATTTCTATTGTCTACAATTCTATCCTTGCTAGTGGAAATAGAAAGTGTCATACCCAGAAGGAATTAAGGCAAAACATTTTTTGGCGAAACCGCTGAGAGGGTTCACTACTGATGAACCAAGCCCTCTCATTCAATAACTCATATCATTGCAGTACGGTCTGTAGAGTCAATATTTGATGATATTTAAAAGAAGCGCATTGCTAGTAAATTTATTTGTGTAAAATATTAACGATAGATGGCAATTAAATTTGATTTACGTGGAATTTTGTTCAAATTAAATCTGTGACGTTACATTTTGGATACAAAATATCTAAAAAATAGCTAAATTTTAATTAATTAAAAACTTTTTTTAATTGATTTGGTTTTATAGATCATTTGTTGGTTTGAAGTTGGTTTGGAAAAAAGTTCAGTTACATCAACCAATTATTTATTCAATTTCCGAGGTTTCAGTTTTGTGTGAAACTTGTTGTTTCTATCTTCAGGGGAAGGTGAATCACTGAGATGTCGGGAATTGAATAAATAATTGGTTGATTTGGTTTTATGTAATGGCCTGCACGTTTTCATGTCCTAATTTCATGATATACCATCAGTTTCTTCTTCTGGGTGTATAAGACTTTCTATTTATACTAATGTATTTTCGAAGAATCATTCTATTTCAATGTAACAAATCCATGCTGAACGACGTTTCTAAAACTGTTGGTCGGAACAATGGATGATCTTGTCTTGTGTGGATTATCCTTTGGGTCGGAATTGCTAAACTAGTTCTGTGTGTGTGTATGTGTGGTTTGAGTTCGATTCCCACAAAAGTTTAAACTTTTTTCTCTAAAGAAACCATTTCTCCAGAGTGTGTCTGACTTATCGGGATTTTTATTTCGTTTCCAATCAGCCCTGGTGGATTTGAAGAGCAACAAGGATGCGGTACCTCTTTGTTTTTCATGGAATGCTGGGCCGTTAATGGTGGCGCGTATGCTGCGCCAAGAGATGGATATTATCTCAGAATATTAAACACATCCACAGACAACTTTCACTTACCTCTCAAATTCAGAGGAAGATGGGGGAAAATTGTAATTCGAGATCTTGGATGACTCAAATTTAATTCATTTCCCCACTTAGGACATCCCGGATTCCCGATAGGTCACGTAATCTGTTGGGGGTCAGTGGACGAGTGATATAAACCGTTGGTTTTCGACCGCTACGACCTGGGATCGTATCCCGCATTGGGCACTTTTTTTCTAATAAATAAAAAAAAAAGCTTCAATGGTTCCCGATTCTTACAAATGCCCAACCCCACTAGTGAGTGCAAGTAACCAAACTGGGCTCTCTGACACATTTATAAGTGCAAAAGTCGAACTGCGCTTTTCACATGTGTAGACATGGGGTGCACTTACAGTAAAAGCAGTCGCCAAATTCTACCCATCATGATAATCATGGCCTGTACCACGTGTACTACGAATAATAATAATAATAATAATCAGCCAATAGTGTGTGGATCATGTTATAGAAAACTATGTCCAGAGGACGTGGTGTGACATAGGAAAACTTGTGACACGGCTGTGGTGTGCAGGACGCGGCGGAGCAGGGTGGCGGCGGACCATGTCGCTGAAGAAGGAGGACCCCAGTCGCGGGGGCAGTCCCACGCCCAGCTTGAGGACCAGCCTGCGCCAGCTCAGCCAAGAGAAACGCGCCAAGAAGATCCGCTTCTACCGAAACGGCGACAGGTTCTTCACGGGACTCATCTACGCCCTGTCGCTGGAACGGATCAGGTCGTGGGACGCTCTGCTAGAGGACCTGACACGTATCTTGGTGGACCAAGTGAACCTGCCGGCCGGGGTGCGGCACGTGTACTGTGCAGGGGACGGCAGGCCCGTCAACTCGCTCGACCATTTCCGCGAGGGGGCGAGCTACGTGTGCTCCTCCACCGACCATTTCGTGCGGCTGGACTACGCGAATAACTGCGCACGACCCCAGTGGTGCCTCACGGCGCGAAAGCTCGCCGATTCCCTGTCTACAGGACGCTCAGACTGGGCCTGGCAGAAGAGGGAATCGAGAAGTTTCGTGCGGCCCAAGATCGTGGCGGTCCTGAAGAGCGGCGCGAAGCCGAGGAAAGTGGTGAGGCTGGTGCTGAACCGACGGACGGCCTTCTCCTTCGAACAGGTGCTGTCGGACATCACGCGGCGGCTGGAGTGTGGAGCGGCCGCTGTACGCAGGATCTTCTCCCTCGCCGGACAACCCGTGAGTACACTTACCTTCTGTTACTGTACTTCACACTTCTCCAACAAACATCACTAACCCCGATGCTATTTAAAAACACACCAGAACTTTGTTACGAGTTAAAGCACGCGCCGATTCATTGAATACAATAATTATATTTAAAAGGGCGTACCTGGATCTGTGAAAGAAAAAAATCATTTTGAAAAATATTTAAAAATGGTACAAAAGTGAAATTGTGCTGGAATCAGGTGGATACATTAAAAAAAAACATTATTCTGACAGATGGCGCAAGCCATGAGCAACTTTTTGTTGCACAATCAGAAGATTACTTAAAAAAAAAAAAATCAAAATAATAAAAATAAAACGTAAAAGTTTTACGTTTTTTGTGCAATATTTTTTTTTAAAGAGGGAACAAACAATCCCTCAAAATATTTGAAAAATGTTTTTCTTTCACAAATCTACTAAATACGCCTTTTTTGTTGTTGTTAATAGAATCGTTATAAGTTTTAATTCTCGTGTTTAAAAACAAACAGCACAGCAGATAAATATGTTACACTTCCTCGATTACTTCGTGTATTTTAACGACATAGTTTTTAATAAAAAGACCGCGAAAATGTTTAATAAGGAATAAATATCTATCCAACTTAAAATCTAAACCACCGTGGCTTTTCTTGATGAAATTGCTTCACCAATATACAAAAATAAACCATAAATCAACGTTTAGTTCATTTTTTCTCCGATAGATGGGCCTAGGTAAACGTTAGCCTACCAACAACCGTTGAACTTGTTTGACTAGTTTTAGTATATACACTCATTGACAAAATTTAAGGAAGTAGAAAGTCTTTAATGTCACAGGTCATCTTTTTTTTTTTTTTTAAAGGGACAGAAGCCATTTTTTGTTCACACTTTGTTATCTCGTGTGTCTTCAATAAAGATCACTTTAATATCTTTCAAGTTATTGTCTGAATCCCGATATATATGCTAAAAGGTACAACTTCCTTATGCTTTGTTCTCATGAGGGTATCTTTGTCTATCTCATTGCCTTTGAATTTATTCGATTAGCCTAGATACGTTAGTATAAAATTGCATTATATCAGAGTATATACATCATTTATAGTTATTCTATATTTATAAAAGAATAAATCCTCTTTTAGCGCAATAAATTCTTTTTATTAACTTTTTTCGCACCAAAGAAGAAAAAAAAAGTTTCAGAAAAGTTAATAAAAGCAACTTATTGCGAAAGGATTTACTTTTGGATATAATATTTATTGCGATTTTTTTGTTTCTTTATTTTGAATTCGTATTTTCTGGAGAGTTGGGCGTCTAGAGAAGACAAAAAGGACGTCTTGTCCGAAAGCTTGTAGAATATCGTCGTCTTATAAAAGAAGTTCTTCCCCCTGACTTGGTATTTATTCTTCTTGTATAGTGGATAGAAAGATACTCGTTGTCTTGTTCCCCTCGTGTAAAGATTACACAAATTCTATTATATTGTATTATAAATTATTTTATATATTTACTAGACGGGTGACCCGGGCTTATACTTACCTGGCATCGGTGTCACGGAGCTCAAGATTCCCGTGCCCTCAGGAGAGGCCTTTCCATTGCACTTTGGAATGGCTGACCCTGACCACTTTCCCAAATCGGGATAGCTGGGGGGCGACAGTCATGAACCGGGATTGAATCCCGCGTTTAAATTTTGTTTAATATGTGAATAACCTTCACATATTATTCATTGTTCAATTATCATGAACTAGGTTGCTCTTGCTGAGCGGTACCTATTTATGTGATTTGAACCAGCCGACCCGGGCTTTGCCCCTGGATTGACCCATGTGCATATCTACCCGAGTGATATATATTTAGATAAGATATTTTTTAATATAATTGTTTGTTATTAGCATTATCTATTTGTTTGCATCAGCATAATTTAATCTAATCTTTGATAGAGGGCGCTGTTCGTGAGCTAAGTAGAATAATTTGTATATATAGTTTTAATAATTGATTTATATATATATTTTTTAAAATAGCCTATCGTCTTCCCCGTATTTTTTTTTTACCTATGTATGGAAATTTTGGTTTGAATTAGTGAACTAATGCGAATTTGTATACCGGACATACAAACATACAAACATACAAACATTGATTTATATATATATATAGATTTACGAACGGAAAAAATATGTCCAAAGTAGCCTAGTGTACATGGCATCTGCCCGTAACTGAACACTGTGGGTTCGATTCCCATCCCTGGATACTTTTATTTTTCCGTTTATCATTTACTCTTCACAATTCATCCTTTCATACTTCATCCCTAAGGTTAGAAATGCTGATGTTATTTATTTAAAATATCAATTTTCATTCTATGATTGAATTAATCTGTGACTTAATTTATTCTGTGGTGTATACATGTATTTCTTTGAGAGAGAGGGGTGAGAGAGTGTATGTGGAGAGGTTTAGGCATGTGAGTTTATAGATTTATTATAGAAATTTATATTCATTATTTTTGTACCTTCAATAAAGAAGATTTGTGTTTTAATAAATAGTAATAATTACGATCCACCCAACAAAAAATAATCGTTATTTTCTCCTTTAAATAAATTTCGATTTTTCGTTCAAAAGAAACACATTCGGTATAATTTTCTCAAATGTCGTTCTACAAATTCCATGAGTTCTCTCATTCATGTAATGGGATGCAGCTTTCGTTGATCATGGCATCCAGATACACGAATCGTTGTTGTCCTAATATTTCCCCCAATCATACCTACAGATAAAACACAAGAATAATACTATATAGAATAATTCCCAATTCTGGACACTTTCCTTTCATCCATTACTCTTCACAATTCATCCTTTCATACTTCATCCCTTAGGATAGGAATAGTCGTTATTTCTCCTTAAATTAAATTACGAATTTTCGTTCAAAAGAAACATTTCCGGTAAAATTTGTCAAACGTCGTTCTACAAACATAAGCCGCATTATATTGTAATATAGAATATATACACAATAGTACAGTTAAACCTCTCTATAGCGCCTTCCTCTCTATAGCGCCTGATTTTAAACATTTTACATTAAAAGTGACCTGTCTATAACACCCCCTCTCTATAGCACCCTATTTTGGTGAGTCCCAAGAGGGGGCGCTATAGACAGGTTTAACTGTATTTAAATAATATAACTGAAGAAGTAATTATTCCACCCATTGGACAGTTTGGCCACATCAATCTGGTTTATACAAAACCTCGCCGCTACTATACATCACGTGGATGATTTGTTTACTTGGTTTGAATCCTGGAAGAAGATGGGCGAACTGCCTCGTCAAGATATTAGGAATTTATGAAACAATTTTTATCCGAAATAAAAACCTTTATTATTTAATAGTTACACTCATGATAATAAAACTTGAAGAAGTTATACCTTTTAGCATTTATATCGGGATTCAAACAATAACTCTGAAAGATATTACAGTGACCTTTATTGAAGATACACAAGATAACCAAATGTGAACAAAATTGCCTGTCTTCTAAAAAAAAAAAAAACGACCGACGATATCAAAGATTTTCTACTTCCTTAAGTTTAGTCCATTAGTGTATATAGAGAGTGGACTTGGCGGTTTGAAGAGGAATATACAAATATACTTGTATATAGTATAATAGTATAAGTATACATATTTGTATAAATGATTCTGTATATAAATGGATACCTGAATGTAATTCTACTGTCCTAAAAGCTTAGATCCATACTTTACTTAAAAACCATTTCTAAGATTCCACCTTTCAGTGCAGCATATAAAAGCTGAATGATCCAATGCAGTATTGGAGCTTTAAAGAAGCGGTCTGATGGATTAAATTGGTGAAACCGCTGAGAGGGTTCATCACTGATGAGCCAAGCCCTCCCAATAATTTTTTCATTGTAGTAAGGACAGTAGAAGTTTGATTTATTTGTGAAAAGAAACATTCGCGTTTTAATGTCTTCATTCGTTATAAATGATTCTGTATATAAATGGTTCTGTATAAAGTTGAGCGCGACGACGAACTGTTCCCTGAGCCACACCCTGTAGTTGGTCAGTCAGGCTCCAGCCAATTATTTGGCACTGATCAAATTTGAGGTGCGGTGGGCTCTTCAATTAGCCACTCTCCTCTATCGATCACTTTGACGAGGAGCTAATTTGATTGGCGGTGACACGTCCTCGATAATTGGAGAGCTACCTTTTTTTTTTTTTTTTTAGTCTGAGGGGGTTTATTTGTTTTCTTTCTAGCGCTGTGTCTCTGCATTTACATTTTTTACTCTTCTCCCCCTTGCTCCTCGATTCCTGAATCTCAGCCGTATTTGCCTATCTCTCTCTCTCTTCCCCCTTGTTTACTCCTATGTTTCCCCTCTCATCGACTTTTGACTTCTCAAAACCCAATTTATCCTTCCTTCCAAATGGACCTTCGGGGCATATCGAGGAATGTCATATTTGATTTTAGTTGCGTTTGTTCTGTTTTTTTTTTTTTTTTTTTTTATCAAAACCCATCGCAATTCTAGTTTATCAAGACAATTTTAAATTGAAAACCTTAATCCCTTGTTTATCAAGTAGACGAAAATATATCAAAATATTTCACGATTCAATACTTTTTTTTTTAAAGCGATATGTTTCCCTTTATATGGTATATTAAAACATTGATATATTTTTATCTCTTCGTCTACACTCATGGGCAATACTTAAGAAAGTGGAAAATCTTTGATAGATAAAGCTCTCTCTCTCATAGGCCAATGAATTCAGATACAATCTTGTAAATCTCTTTGACTTGTTACATTGATAGAAATCTGTTTTATCTTTCTCCCTGAAGCCGGGGAGCATTGAAGGATATTAGGGCTGATCCTTTCTCTTATCTTGTATTCCATCTCCACATAACACTTACGTTTTAAGCTACCTTCTTTCTTCCAATATTGTGAACGACTTTTCTTGGGGAGCAAATAGCTAGAGTGACCTTTTGTTGTGCAAAGACCTTTTTCATTAAGGCCGTTTGGGAGCAGTTCAATTGAACGAATCTCGCCCGCGCTAAATGTTGCCATTGTTGTCTTGGGTGGCATTTTGTCTTTCTGATGTAATCTCATTCCAGTTCGTTCTTGACCTTCCTCATTGTCTTGAGGTTAAACCTTCCAAGGCCTGCTGCTGGTAGGGGAGACCCTACCCACTTGACCTTGCCATTTGCGGCTTCGCTTAGCAAAGTTCCGCATAACGACGATTTCGCATTTACGACGAATTATCTAAAATAGTTTAAAGTTCTCGCTACAAAGGGTGGATTTCTGATATTTACCACCGTTAGTTTAGCGCAACGAATCTATATACGGTTATGCAAATGTTTAAAGAGACAAACAACAAGACATTTACATATTATTGAGCTGGCAATATGTAACATGATGCATATTTTAAAAACGTTTACCATGTGTGCAAAGCATTATATAAAGGTATCTGGTAGAACACATTTAAAATTAATAAAAAAATAATCAAATACTTTTTTGTTTCTCTCTCCTAGCATTTTTTTTATAGTGTAAATATGAATATGCAAATATGAATTCGAATACCTTCCCCGAATTTATGTGCATAACAGTGAAATAATAATTTAAAATTTCAATAAACCGCGCACGATTATAAGTATTATAAATACTACTGTATGTGATATTGATGTAATTTTATCTCAAGCCAATATGTATTTTTCTTTTATAAGCTCTTGCACAGTCCTTCGGCAAAGAAGAAGAGCTAGCATTCGCATCCCCCTCTGATTATCATTTCACAATTCTTTCGTGTGATAAGAACGAATAGAGCATTTTCTCTCAATGAAATCTCAAATGCTAATATAGGTTTAGTAATGAGGCAGCCATTTTACTGTGAATTCCCACTTCTAAGTCCACCAAATATATAAGTACACAGTTTGTGGTTATCTCTGCGCTATAGAGTAGGAAAGGAGAATGCTGGGAGATGTTTTATTCATTCCACTTTGTCTCCCTGTCATTTGGAAAACAGAACATTACCGATGGACAGATACGACGTTTGTCGTCTGCCTTTCCCGCTCTCTTCTAAGCCTAACTTTATAACACGTACAGTACATGCTGGAAGTTAAACTTCTAGGTGTGCTTCTGTTGAAGGACATGTTAGTCCGATATAGCTAGAGAAATCAAAATGGTGCAAGAAACTTAACACTGGGTTGCCATTTTTGATAATATTAAAGTACAATCTCTATCGCTAACACAGCGTAGACAGGCTTTGTATGACGGAACAACAGGAATACCTCCTTGATGGAACTTCCTTCTTTGTCTTCTTTGTTTTATCATATTTTTTAATTTTGTTTTTATTCTGAGTAAAATTACAAATATAGATTGATGAAAATTCCGCCGTGGAGATTGTTCTATAAAAATAAAAGCCACCTTTCTCTCCCGTCAAAATCGATGCTAAAACTAACCGCTATCTATTGACCGCTTCCGCAAAGTTGGTGTCGTGGCTTTGTCACCGAGTCCGCTAGTTTGTGGAGACTGTCAAATAGTGGCGTCTAGTTTTAGTGTCTATTTTGAAGGGAGAGGTGACTTTTATTTTTATAGATCAATATCCACCTGGCGGAATTTCCATCTATATTTTGGCCAAACAAATATTTGACCTAGCCACGCTACCAACTAAACACCAATTTGTCAAATTTATAAAGATTTCATTTGATCCTCTGTGGATCTCATTGAATAAAGTCCGCCTTGGATTGACGAGGGCCATTAGCCCGAAACCATGGTCTCTAGATGGACGCTTCTCAGCTTCCCAAAGCTGTTGTTGTGGCTTTGTCACTGACCTGAGTCTTCTAGTATAGATGACGCGTTTTTGCCTTATAATAAATCTGTTTGTTGGCAAAATCTTGAACTCTTCAACGGAAAGAATCAAATCAAAGAGTGAAAACGTGAGTTTTACGGTACTTCGACACTATGTGGCTATTATCTATACACTCTGCCTTCTCCGCGCCAATATACCCTGGGATATCTCTCTACGAGACACTGTTTATAACATTCGATTAAATAATTGACTAGGTGAGTGTCGGGGAAAAAAAAATCAATTTTTATATTTTAAAAATAGATCGCGCGCGCGCTGGTCGTAAAGGTAAGCGATAAAACGATTTTATTGAGTACAACAACAGCAAAACTTAAATGGTCATTGATGGTGTCTTGGATACCTACTTTCATGAAATATTCAACAGAATGGATGCGTAACTTTCCACACACTAAATATTAACTCTTT